CCTGTATCCGCCCGATCTCAATAATCTTATAGAATCTCGTATCCTGGAGGCGATGGACTACACGCTCGTGGAGATCTCTGGGCCTCAATCCCACAGGTCGTCCACTCTCCTAGCGCGGATAGTCTGGGACAGTAACTCTCCCTCCCATATATGGGCGGACCTATGATCGCCCTGAAGCACTAATAGCTCACGAGAGTAAGGGCCGGGATGTATAGGCGGCGTGTCCATGTCGTCAACTGTAAATTAAACAACATTAATTGTATGTTTATTATTTAATTGTACAAAATATATATACCTATTGGGTTCCAGGCTCGATATTTGAGGCCCAGTAGCACCAAACTATCATAAATATTTATGTGTGTCAAATTGAATATTTTGATAATTTTGTGTGTCTTTGTTTAATAATTTAAATTCTTAATTTTTAATTATTTAAATTCTTAAATATATATAGCTATTGGGTTCCAGGCTCGTTATTTGAGGCCCAGTAGCAACAAACTATCATGAATATTTATGTGTGTCAAATCAATATTTTGATTATTTAATTGTACAAAGTATATATCTTCATCTACCAGTATAAGAAATACTTAAACTACAGGGATTCTACGCTAAAATACTATACAGTTTACTATGCTAGAAGTTTCTACATTTTACTATGCTAATAAATAAACTAAATGTAAACAACAAATACATTTTAATCACATAACATTCACAAAAATACATATAACATACTAGTTTCGCAAATAATACACAAAACGACATGGAAACACTAATATCTAAATTCGGATATTAACATAAAAATCTCAATTTCACATTTTTTTAGAACACATTAATCTAAGTCCGGATAAATATAACATACTAGTTTCGCAAATAAAACACAAAACGACATGAAAACACACTCAATCAACTAATATACATTATTATACAAGTTTCGACATAAAATAAATCGAAATACCTCGATGTAGTGAGTGTTTTGTGTGAAAATTTGAAGACGATGCAGTTAAATCACAATAATACAATGCTCCAATACGATGTGGGACCTACGTTCTTCACCTTTTGTGTGACGGGAGGGACCCACAATTTTTTTTTTTAATCACGAGCAGTTGGGGGAGGGGGGGGGGGGTACCAGAAGCAGAAGTTAAAAAAAATGGGGGAAAGGGTTCGGTCGGGGAAGAAGACGAAGGGGGTATTTAATTAAATGGTATAGCGTTTTTTTTTGGACGCTATAGTATAGCTTATTCATTTCATACGCTATATGTGGCAGTCAAATCGCCTGTCAGTATAGCGTATAAATAGAAGACGCTATACCTTAACGGAAAAAGTTACCGTTAAGGTATAGCGTCTTGTATTTAAACGCTATACATAGATATGTAACTTTTTTTTTTTTACACTTATTAATGTATTTTGAATCCAAAAACACAATATTTAGGTTCCGGACTCGTTGTTTTGGTCTCTACTTCGTGTTACTTTTATGTATCGTTTCTCTGTCCCCATACTTCTTTCCCTTTTTGGTCTCCCTACCCCCTTCGCATTAGCAGTTGTCTTTGAATTGGATCATGGAATTAACGCTGAGATTTTGCCTCATTCTTCAACAGGAAAGCTTTTCTATTCTGGGTTCGCTGATCTGATATCGGTTAGCCCTGTAATCAGTACTAAATTTCCATTCTAAAGATATATATATATATATATATATATATATATATGTATCTGTGTGTGTACGTGATTCGAAGATATTGTAGGTACTCGGCCACACTAATTAATTTAGATTCCAGCTTTCTAGGTTCTTTTCTTAGAATTTAATAGATTAATATGGGTATGCTCTGGAGTCTGGATTGCATGTCATATAGAAATCCTGGCGAATTCTATATATACTTATATATGGTGTGTATTTTGTGTATCTATATGATAAAACGAGAAAAAAGTAAAAATATAAGTCGTTGAACTTTTTTTTATAGTAGAAAGCATATAAGGTAAATTAATGTCATGTCAGATTTAATAGTGAGCTCTTTAGCTGTGTATGCTTCTCTCCTAGTATAGTTGTATTTGTTTTTTTGGGGGCATTTGTAATGTTGCTTGGACACATTATTTTATGATCTAAACTATGAAAGTTATGGAGTTGATATATTCTGGTTAAGATTATTAACTTATACTTAAATTAAATTCAACATGAGTTGTATGTTTTAGTATAGCTAATTACTGTATTTACGTAGTAAAATTGTAAATTTAGGAAAAACGTTGTCTTAAATTAGCGTTACATATATATTTACAGTAATTAAGGACATTTAAATAAACTTATAAGTATAAGTTATTTTACAATACCACACAGTATTAAACCACATCAAATAGTATAATTTATCTAAACATTGTATTCACAGAACAATGTTGTAAAACATAATAGACTACAAGAATACATTATGAAACAACAACCAAAACATAATGTTAAATTGTGAGGAATGAACTACTAACTCATCCATTGATGGTGGGACTGTCATCAAATGAAGTGAGTCCATGGAGAGGCGAGGCAGGTAGGGACTTGGCCATGATTTGACTACTTCGGTTTGATAGAATTGATGTGGATGCCTTTCTTGCATGCACAACCTTTTCATTTGTCTTGATAATAAGGAGGAACACCAGACGGTACAAGATTAATGTACCTACCAGAATGGCAAGGTCTACCCACTTTGAGTATGCCATTTCTGCTTGCCATCTTTCTCTCAAGATGTCTTCTCCACTCATTATCCGATTTTTCCCGAATTGATCATCTGTGAACTTTAGCCCTTCAAATTCATTCTTAAACATACCTTGGTATGCATACTTGTGGAAGGACATGTAGTACAGTGGATACTTCCAAATTGGATCAGGCAACTCACTAGGTAATTGAAAAAAACCACCACTTAATATCTGTAGTCCTTGTATTCCTGCACCCACTACAATGCCCATGAGGAAATTAGGCACGATAGCTGCAACGTTCATCATTAGGCTCTCGACTATCATCATACTGGTAAAGAGGACCAACTCAAAGTAGATGAAATGCCCAAATCCATTCTGAAATCCAGAAAGGAAATAGGCAATGGCACCTGGAACAAATGATATTAGTAGCACGTATGGTATGGAAGAAAGTGTGTTGCCTATGACAAAAGTACAACATCCATAGTGCCCGTTGAGGTTTTCCCGTTGAAATACCTGCAATATTTTCTCGAAGCAGTTAAATTAATTATTCATGATACAATATAAATCATAGCATTCATTAATTATTTTGGATGAAAAAAGTACCTTCATGTCCTCTACAAATGAAGGGAATCCACCAACTGTCATAAATGTCATAAATGAAACAACAAAAGCAACCATTAGACCTCTTTCCTGCAAAATCAATTTTTAAGACCGTGTTATGATCCATAAAGTTTGTCTACTCAAAAAGTACTGAAATATTTGGAGAACTAAGAAAGTTTGAAACTTTTTGTTGATTCCTTGTCCATGCTGTTTATATACCTCGACTGAACGATAGTTTGAGCCAAGATCATAGTAGATGGAGCCAAGACCTAAAGCAATGGCGACATAAGTAGCGAATCTCATCCAATAGTAGCCAAGATCTCGAAACATGTTCACACTTGACCTCCTTGTCAAAACAAGGCCTTGCGTAGTGAAGTTGGCATGACTTCGTTTTTCCAATATTTCACCACCCTGAAAATAAATAATGGATGTTAGAGTGATTCCTCTCATCACCCTGCAAGCAACCCTCCTCCATCCTCTCCGATTTTGGGGGTTCGCTCTTACCTGTTGACAAATTTCTGCAACCTGGTTCTGAACTTCATGATATTCCTCGGATGATTTATATGAATTTACGAGAAGGTCTATCACTTCTTCTGTAGGTTTTCTTCCAGCTGAGCCTTGTTCAACATCCTTTTAATAGAAAGTAAGATATTCAATAAAAGGCAAACTTTGGTCTCTCTTAGGAAAAAGGAAGAGTATTTACCTCATCAAAGTCCTTGTTTATTGTTTTAAGAAAATGATCTGACGGATTCTGAAGACGTGGGCAAGGGAAACCATTTCTCGCGAAAAACTACCATAATAAAAAAGTTTTAATAAACATATAAATTGATCAAATCATTACATATGTATACTTGTATTATGTGTCCGTTACTTGACTAGTTAATAATCCAATAATCATGTGCTTACCTGAATTGCTGCACTAGCAGGTCCAAAATATACTATTCTTCCCGAAGACAAAAGGCATAGGCTGTGGAAGAGGTTGAAAACTTCTGCACTTGGCTGATGAATAGATGCAACAATGGTTCTTCCCTCTTTTTGGCGTGAAATTCCGCTCATCACATAATAAGATGCAGCACTGTCGAGGCCACTGGTTGGTTCATCGAGGAAGAGAAGTTTTGGTCGCGTTAGAATCTCCATGCAAATACTAAGTCTCCTCTTCTCTCCTCCGCTAATTCCTTTATTGCCCCATCCTCCAATTCTTGTGTTCATTGCATCTTGCAACCCCATCTCCTTTATAGTCTGCTCTGCTATTTGAATTTTCTCTGATTTTGTCATGGAATCTGGCAGTTGGAGTTGTGCAGAGTAGTAAACAGCTTCTTTAACGGTTAGTGTTGCCAACAGAGTTTCATCTTGAGTCAGGTATGCCTGATTTTATAGGATAAAACAACAATACCATGCATGCTAATAAAAATATTGTACTTTACTAATAGAAAAGTAAAAGAGATGTTATTGCAAAAAAGGAAAACAAAATAAGTAGTGATGCGCGCCAAGCGGCATTCAGGTGAAGATTCTCTTACACATGTTCCATAAGAAAGTTTTTGTTTGTGACCATTGATCAGAATGACTCCGCTCTGCCTCGTGCTGAAGTCCAGTCGCCCTGAGAAGTGGGCATCAGGTGAGTCATACTTAGAAATAAAACTATTTCATGAGCATTAATTTAACAAAAATATCCCCCTCTTGGCCTTTGCTGTTATTTTTGGCCCCATTCAAGATATTATATGCATCATTTGCTAAGAGATAACTAATAATATTTACTTTACCAGCTAATGCGTCGAGAAATGTAGACTTGCCACAGCCAGAAGGACCCATGACAGCCAAGAGCTCACTAGGACGAGCATAACCAGTGAGACCTTGAAGTATGGCTTTTCTGCCACTTTTTCTAGTGGAGACAGTAACCCATAAGTCATTCCAAGTCAAGGAAACTCCTCTAGTTTTTGATCCCATTTGGCCCTTCACAGCATTCAATTCTACTTCCTGATTTCCAGTTCTAATTCCATAATCCATAGGTGGCATTTCCAAATTTACAGAAGCCATAGTTGCATGCCCAGAAAAAAACGGAAAGCCAATAGTGGTTTTACTTTCTTATTCTTGCAAAATGCGTGGGGTATTTAAGGACGTTGTAGTGTGAGACACTACTTTGTCAACTGCTGGGCAGCTATGGCATTAATTATATGTGTCAAAAAAATCCAGTTATAATGGACAGCCACATTTATGTTTCTCTTTGTAGGTTGCAGTTTCAGCTTTTAATGTCTAGTTTCGTTCTTCTTATCCTCATACCTAAGTCCCAAGCATTCCTCAGGGCTAAGTCAACTCCCATTTTTCTTCTTCTCCTTCTTGTCACGCTAGCTTGTTTGATTTTAATTATTTTCCTTTAATGAGAAACTAGAGGTAAGGGACATGAGTCCGGAACCAAAATGTGGTTCTTTTGGACTCTAAGAATAAAAATGTGTGGGATAAAAATGTAGTGACCAAAATATGTATAACGTCTTTTTAAGACGCTATACCTTAACGGCCATTTGGCCAGTTAAGTATAGCGTCTTTTAAAAAGACTCTATATATATATATATATATATACATATAACGTTTTTCACTAAGACGCTATATATATTGTGTGGGCCCACAAATAATTCTTCTGGGCTTAACTGACATAACAATAGCGTCTTAAGCTAAGACGCTATACCTCAAGTAATTGACCTCCCGGACTGGTTTTTGCCTTATTTAAGGACGTTAAGGATTTTGTAAAAATCCATTCAGAAATATTCTCAAGTCTTGTGAAATTTTTCTTTGTTAAGTTGTTTTGCATTTTACCATAATGTCTGAAGAGCAAAGAATTATTGTTTCATTATATGGGGGGAGGGGGAGGTTGTGGTGGCGAATAACTAAGTAAGCTATAGTTTATCTCCACGGTGTCATGTTAAGTTGCCACTTACAATGGAGTACGATATATTGGTATCGTTGTTATGTAAAAAAATAAGTGTGAGCAAACGTTCGGTGAATCTTAAAGTAACCGGAAGATATCTGTATTATGTGACTCCGCAAGGGGTTGCTTGTTATGCTGAGTTTAACATCGAGAACGATGAAACTCTGAGAGATTTTTTTAGTATTCCGGATGAATACCAGGAATTTATTGTGATAAAACTGTTGGAAATGTACGTCAAGGCCGAAGACATTCCGTATGTTAGTTTTATTATTTTTTATGTTTGTGAGTTATTCACCTATTTTTTACTATAATAAAATTAAATAATTAATTTTCATAACTATACGGGATTTTAAATATTCACATTTTGGTTCCAGACGCAATATTTGAGGTCTAGTAGCACCAATGTATCTTGAATTCTTATGTTCATGATGAGAAAATTTTTCCGATTTATCACTCAACAGGTCTGTTGTTTTATATGTTAGTTTATTATTGTATATGTTAGTTTTATTATTTAATATGTTAGTTTTATTATTTAATATATTAGTTTTATTATTTTACATGTTTGTTTGTTTGTTACTGAATTATTTTTTACTATACTAAAATTAAAAAATTAATTTTCATAACTATATAATATTTAATTATTAAATATTCATATTTTGGTTTCGGACACAATATTTGAGGCCCAGTAGCACCAATGTATCCTGAATTCTTATGTTCTTACATTTGTTGACTATAATTGGAGATAGTTTGTGTTTGAACTATCAGTTTTTTGACGTATTTTTAGGAATAAGAGATACTTAAATGATTAATTTATATGACTACAAGATACTACGCTAAAGGGCACTACGTTTTACTACGCTGAAAGGTCATTACGTTACAAATACGAGCACTACATTAGGCCACAAGATACCACTACAGGAAACTAAAGTAACAATTTATCTAGTTTACTAGTCTTTTAGCAAATAAATAATCTAAACCGGATAAAAATAATAAATTAATTTAATCACAAAACAATTACGAAAGTACATATACCACAATAAAAAGTAACTAATTAACATTGTTTTTAACAAGTAATAATAATTTCTCTATTTTACGAAATTTTTTAGCACACTAATACTTTAGTCCGGATAAAAAATAACAAATTAGTTAAATCGCAAAACAATCACAAAATAACATAGAGCACATAAAAAACAACTAAGATGCATTTTTTTTTATACAAGTTTTAACAAAAACTAAGTCGGAATACCTCGATTTAAGATTTTTAGAAAGTTGAATATTTTGTGATTTGGAGCTGAAACAAGCAACAATATTTGAGATAACGCCTTAGCTAGCTCGTGGGACCGAGAATCTACACTTTTTCGTGGGACCGATGGGCTCCACTCGAGCTTTTTTTTTATTAAAAGGGGGGGGGGGGAGGGGAGGGGGTGGACAATTCTGTTTTGGGGGAAGGGAAAGGAGACGATCTATATTTTTGTTTTTTGAGTCTAAAAAATCACATTTTGGTTCCAAACTCCAACGACCTTGCCCATATAGCTGGATCAATTATAGTGAAACCACAACTTCACTTGAAAAGTTCAAATTCAAGAGCAAATTTTGTTTATTACGTGCTGAAATCTCTTTATTTGCAAGTCAAGGCCACAAGGACAAGGAGGTTAGCAAAAGTACCCCTCCATTTTGTATTTTGTTATATTTTGTTTTAGTAAACGAGCGAGATCTATTTCTAGCCATTTCTAGCCAGTGGCCAATTCTTTTGTTTGGATGATTGTTACCTATTGTATTGTATCGTATTGTTACGTTAAATACGTTGTTTATTTTGATTATTATTTAAATTGTATCGTATCGTATCGTTAAATCCGTCGTTACATAACGACGAAATGTGCCATTTTATGTAACGACCGATTTGGTGTGGTCGCGTCGTTACCTTGTCTTTTTCTCTCAATCTCACCCTTCATTATTATTAAATAATTTTATTTTATCATTTATCCTACCTTTTTATATAATAATTTTACCCTGTATCATAATTTTTCTTTATAATATTGTAAGTTTATTCTTCATATTGCTAGTGTGTGATATCATGAAACGATGGCAAACGACACAATCTATTCAAACATTGTATTTATCAAACGATACAGTACAATACGATACGATACATTATGAAACGATACGTAACAACCATCGAAACAAGCTGTAAGACCGTAATTACTTAATCTAACATAGCAATCCAGAAATAAAAATATATCAATTTAAATATCACCATTACAACTGTCAGTGAGAACTGAGAACTAGAGAATGCGAGAAGCAAGGAGATAACGAGTAAAATTAATTTGGACAACTTTCGTATATTATTGTTTATATTTCTTATTTTGTCGATCATTTTTTGTTTTTCCAATTTCTTTCGCAGTTTGGGAATTAAATTATAAAGTCAAAACAAAGAGAAAATAACCCATACCTGACTGTAAAGGATTAGATTGAAATCACATGGGAGAATTAAATGCTTTTTAAGTATGCTTGGTATGGAGCTTTCTGAGAATGTGTTAACTATGTTATGGGCTATTGACAAATACACTATTTTTTTTTTCAGTACTAAAGATAGGCCTTACCTAATAATAGTTCGACTTGAATACTTCGACATAAAGAACACGTCTTCACTCTTCAGTAGTTATTTTTGGCTAGGTGAAGCACAGAATGGACCCAATAAGTGGTCACAATTGCACAAGAAAAAACTCATATTAATTGCTCTTGTAGTGAAGCACCGTAATTCAAGTTCCCAACCAATGACTCACTCTACCAAGTCAGAGTAGGAACTCATTGATTCAATGTGACAACTCAAACTAAGTTAGATCCAATCTGAAACTTAGATTTCTCAGTGGCACCGGCCAAGATTCATGTAAGTGGTGTCGATTTATTGTCACACTTCAACTTGTAAATGAATATGAGTCTATCATCGTGGTAATTGTTGTCCTAATTTACTTTTCTTTAGTGTGTATATATAGCTTTTGCTTATTAGAGAATTATTATTTACTCACGTCTATAAGAAAAAAAACTTGTTAAGGATGTGTCCACTGCTTTAAGTAGGAGTAATTCTTTAACAATAAACAGCCATCATAGTTCCACATTATCTTGCTCTGATTATTTTTTGTACCATATTTTATGTAAATTCCGTAATATGAGTATTATAAAAAGTGATAACTATTACATGTATGTTGTATAAAATTATTACTCATTCCCTTTCATTTTATGTGATATTGCTTGACTATGCATTGGAATTTACGAGGAAAAAAAATTACATTTGAAATTGGTGGTCTTAAACATGTCATGATACTTATGTGTGGCTATATATAATAACATATTATTAAAAAATAGAAAATTTAAAGTTAAAAAAAGTTATACATAATAATATATTATTAAGGCAAAAGGGGTTTAGGAGAAGCATTGGCAGCACTGAGGTTCTGTTCGCAGCTAGTTTTTAAAAGCTTCTATTATGACCGTCTTTTTGTCCAGCAAAGAATGAAGTATTCTTTTAGTTGAAACATCGATCTTAATGAGTTTGCAATAACGTGATCCATCTAAATTTCCAACTTTTATTACTGATTTGAATGTCAAATTTCAATCATTGTCCAGCATATGACGTTGTCTGCTCAATGAGAAAAAAAAGGAGGTGAAAGGTATGCCAACTCTTTGCGAGCCAATTATGTTTGCACTTTATTAGCCTGAGCATTGAAATATCATAAATTGATTAAACTTACATACACTGACACTGTAAATAATTTTTACTCTATCAGTGTTTTTAGGTATCAAATTCATCCAAATGTCTTTCTGCCGTATTGATTTGGTTAGGCGAGGTAGACGATATGAATGCTCTTATAGTTGGCTTAACTTTTTCACCAGCCTTGACAAATAGCAAGAATAATAGCCTGTAAAAAACAACCATCCCTAGTAAAATAGCAAGATCCACCCATTTTGAGTAATTCATATTCATTTGCCATGTATTTCTCAGAATATCCTCCCCATTGATCATTTGAACTAATTTACCCTTTTGCACATCTTGAATTTTTAGCCCTTCTAACTCGTTCTTGAACAGTCCTTCAAAAGCATACGTATGAAAAGCTACATAGTGTAAAGGGTACTTCCAAAATGGCTTAGGCAAATCACTTGGTAATCGAAAGAATCCGCCACTTAGTATCATAAGCGCTTGTAGTCCTGCTCCAGTTATTATTCCCATGAGGAAATTAGGGACAATGCTTGCTACAATCATCATTAGGCTCTCAACCAACATCATACAGGTGAAAAGGACTAGTACAAAGTAGATGAAATGCTCAACTCCATTTTGTAGTCCAGTTAGAAAATAAGCAATAGCTCCTGGAATCAAAGATACTAGTAGCAAGTATGGCATAGAAGAAAGTGTATTGGCAATGACAAATGAACCAGATCCATAATGACCATTTAGTTTCTCTAGCTGAAATACCTGCCATTTTTTTTCTTACTTTATTAGCATGATATCAAGAAAGGAAAAACAAGAAATGAAACACTTATGTATTTCTACCTTCAGATCTTCCACAAAAGAGGGGAATCCACCAATGGCCATAAAAGTGATGAATGAAGCCACAAACATAAGCATGGTACCTCTTGCCTGTGTTCACCATGTAAAGTGTAAATACTTTAATTTGGTAGGAAACACTAGCTGCAAGTATACTCCACAATTACCTGAACTGAAGCAGTAGAAAATCCAACATCATAGTAGATGGTACCGAGACCTATAGCTATGACAACATAAACAGCTAAACGTAGCCAGTAGTAACCAAGATCGTGGCACATGTTCACAAATGATCTTCTTGTCAAAACAAAGCTTTGGTTTGTGAAGCTGACATGACTTCTTTTCTCCAGTATTTCACCTTCCTGTATTCGTAATATCAGGTAAAGTTCAGTGACCATACATAAAATTAACCTTGAAATTGGTAGAGGAAATATATCCGGTGAGGATCAATCATAACAGTGTTTCAGATTTGGCACCTGTTTGCAGATTTCAGCAACTTGGCTCTGAACCGCATTGTACTTATCAGAAGATCTGTATGACTTTATCAGGATATTAATCACCTCTTCTGTTGTTTTCCTTCCAGTTGAACCTTCTTCAATGTCCTATTATGCATAACCAAAAGTTTCATTTAAAGTAATTGAGGAACATTATATTCTAATACAAAAAGATCAAAACTTTTTCTTACCTGATCAAAGTCACTGTTTATTGTTTTGAGAAAATGATCAGATGGATTCTGGAGAGTCGGGCAAGGAAAACCACTCAATGCAAAAAACTGCACTCATCATAAAGTACTATTATCCCTTTGGCTGATTAACTTGAAATATAAAGCAAGTCATTACAAGAATTAAAATATGCTCACCTCAATTGCTGCACTAGCAGGGCCAAAATACACAGTTCTACCAGAAGACAGAAGACATAAAGAATGAAATAGAGCGAAAACTTCAGCACTAGGTTGATGAATTGAGGCAACAATGGTTCTCCCTTTGCATTGGCTTGCAATTGTTTTCATAACATAATAAGATGCTGCACTATCAAGTCCACTAGTTGGCTCATCAAGAAAGAGAAGTTTTGGGCGCGTTAAAATCTCCATACATATGCTGACTCTCCTCTTCTGTCCTCCACTTATTCCTTTACCGCTCCATCCTCCAATTCTTGTTTCCATTGCATCTTGCAACCCCATTTCCTTTATAGTAATGTCTGCTATTTCTTTTTTCTTTGATTTTGGCATGGAATTTGGGAGTTGCAGTTCAGCAGAATAGTATACGGCTTCTTTTACTGTTAATGTTGCAAGTAGAGTATCATCTTGAGTCACATAGGCCTAATTGTGTCAAATGTTAGTACAAAAGATGCAGATACTCATGTAGATAATCAAAGGAAATAACTGTTGCTTCAATAGGTGTGTTATAATGTCTCTTTTTCAGTAAATTTACCCCTGAAATTTTGCACAATTTCTTGAGTAGAATGCCCGCTCAAAATATTTTTAAAAAGGCAGATGCAGATCATTGTTATTTCATTATTTGATTTTTATTAGCCAAGAAGCCATGTCTGTTTATAACACCTCTTCCTAGACTCAAAGACTGGATGTTCATAGACAAATATTTAAAAATTTTAAACTGATAAATGGTTAATTCTGATTTATTAGCTACATTAATTTGTCCGAATTTACAATCAAATTTGATTATTAACAATCAGTTATATGAAAGTAAGACTACTAGCTAGTTACTTTAAGGTAAGCCTTCTCATGACTGTATTAGGAAACAAATATTATACAGGGGTTCGCCTTTAAAAAGGGGTCATTTCTTAGTTCAAATTTATATGACACTCTTCTCCTTTTGATATGTTCTAAAATATTGGAAACGCTTCCACCAAATAAGCCAATACAACTTTCACAATTTTCAAGATTCGAATAATTTGTCTATAGATTCAAGTATAATGTGATGTTTTCATTTATCAAACTTTCATCTGTTACTCTAATATTGTCACCTCTAATATTTTCCTTTTTTCTCAATTGCACAACTTTTTTATTTTGACGATCTCCAGTAGATAATGCATTGCTGGTAGAATGTTGCAGGAGTAAGAGGTCATCTGATATTAGGACATTAGGTCCCTGTAATTGATTCTTAAATGGGATTATATACATATTTTACTCACAAAGGTTCCATATGCCAGCGTCTGTTTGTGGCCATTGATTAGAATATCTCCACTCTGCCTTGTGCCCGATCTTAATCTCCCTGATAACGTTAACATACATAAGGAGCTAATCAAAATAACACCAAGTTGCCTGTATAAAAGAACTTGCGACTATCAAATCACCTAAAGGATCCAAAAAAGGAATTTGTAACTTGAAAAATAAGGCAGGTTACCTGCTACAAAATGTTAAAATATACGTAATAATAATTTAAAAAATTATTAACGTTATCATAGTATATAAAATTTTCGTGGTGAAATACCTGCTATTGTATCGAGAAGTGTTGATTTGCCACAGCCAGAAGGACCCATGATAGCCAAGAGTTCACCAGGCCGGGCATAGCCAGTTAAACCTTTAAGAATGGCTTTGCTTCCATCTTTTATGTTTGAAGCTCTCACCCACAGATCTTCCCATTTCAAGAAAACTTCTCCATTTTTTGGTACAGCTTCAGCTAATTCGACAACGTTTTTTGGTCCTTGATTTGGCATTTTGGTGTATTAAGTAGTATTCAACTTTGTAAATTGTAATCTTGGTTTCTAGATGATGAATATGATTTAAGGAAGTTTTAAAAGTACTTCAGTTTATTGTTAACATGAGTCTGCATGGATATGCTAAGAGAAGCACTAAACAAATGAGAAAAAAGGGAAGTAGTGGTTTGTTCTGGTCACACTGCTCTATTTATAAAAGCTAAATAAGCAGTACTCCAGTACTTTTCTTGTTGTCTAGTAATTTTCTTGTTGAAGTTTGTTGTGAGTTTGTCTTATTCAATATCAATTCACCCTGCCATTCAATATCGCTCTAACTACGTGCCCTCGTTCAAACTAGTTGGATTGGTCATATTAATCTTTCGAATCGGGACGGATGTAGACGGTAATTTACGGGTTCTTTAAACCTAATATATTTAGCTCGAATCCTGTATATGCATTAAAAATGTCACTAAGTATAAATAATAGATTTCAAACCTAATCCTGTAAATTAAATGGACTATGATAGTATTCCGAACTCGAACTTTTTCAAACCCTGGATCAATCTTTTCCAAATCCGCCCTCCATTATTCTTAATTATTTATCAGATTTATCATGTTTTGACTATTTTATGTTGGCTATAAACCTAGCTACCGTATGTTTAACAACTCTTCACCTTACTGGTTATGTTTTGCGAGGCTCACATAGCTAGCAGACAAATAAGAAAATAATTTAAATGAAAAGATGATTATTCTGTATTATGTAGTTAAGTTCTTGAACTGAAAAAATTGCAAGATTGAAGTCAATAATGAAGTTGCTACGCAACTATATATAATAATAATTACTAATAATACTAAATGAACATCGACCGACTATTCACTGCAACTTAATTTATTAGTGTGCAAACAATAAATGGAAGAAAGAAACCTTATTAGAAAGGCTAAAAACATGCAAGTAACCACGGCTAAGCAGTTTTCACATGGGAAATGAGTCTTGGACCATGAAAAACACATCGGATTCTATCAGTCCATACTAAATTTAGATACTAGCTACTAGAAGAGGAATAAAAGCATATAGCTAAAATGCCTAAGAGAGCCCGGGGCCTCCCTTCGCCCCATTTTATATGATGCACGACTGTGTACGGAGTTTCAGAAAAAATAAATATTTTTAAAATAAGTTATATACTCCTATTTATTTCTAAATATAAAACGATATCATTCTTTTTGAGATAGAAGTACCAGAAGACAAGATATCAGAGGCGGATGTAGTATATTACCTACGGCTTCAACTGAACCCATAACTTTCGACGCAGAGTAAAAATTTATTAAAATTGTAAAAATAATAGATATGAACCCATAACTTTAAAAATATAATGGGTTCAATATTCAATGTTAAAACACTTAAAATTGAACCCATAGGATTTAAATCCTTGATCCGCCCCCGCAAGATATTCTCGTGCAGATACGAGATTAGCACATTTCTGGTCTTTGTTGAGTGCTATGTTGTTTTCATGCATATTTTCAACTATTCATTTCCAGATCCAGGAAAATATCCGCCCCTACTTATTTATTATTTTCCCACTCTTCTCAACGAGTTAGATTTTCTTTTGCTCAATATAGACAACACAATCTACTGGAGTACGAAATACAGTTAAGTGCCACAAGACTAATTTGTGATGGAGAAAAATAGCAAGATTTTTCCCATTCTTTGTCAGATAGGCTAATAATATTCTTTCCGTTCCAATTTACGTGACACTTTTTCTTTTTTGAGATTCAAACTTCTTAATTTTGATCGGGCATTTAGACATCGAACTTTTTAGTTTTTCGAAATGAAGTTTACATTTGGAAACTACATAAAAAGTATTAGAAGTCACAATAATTAATAATTTAAAAGGCATATGAAAGAACACGGTCAAAAACTAATTCGTTTCACTCTCGAAATTAGAACACCTTCACGGTACACCTTTTGTTCTAATTTATGTGACACTTTTCTCTTACTAAGATCATATTCAAACATCTTAATTTTGATCATGCATTTAGACATCGAATTTTTAGTTTTTTCGATATGAAAATTACATTTGGAAATTACGTAAAAAGTATTATAAATCACAATAATTAATAATTTAAAATATTTTAAAGGTATACGAAAAAATTACCGTCAAAATTCGTTTGACTCTCGAAATCAGAACACTTCACATAAATTGGAATGGATGGGAGCAGTAAACGCTGAAGTCTCTTCAAGTATTAGTTAAATAAGAGCTTTTCAATTAACAACAACGAAAATATAGTTGAATAAGCAGAAAAAGATCAACGGCAAATAAATATTAAACGTAGTGAACAAATCATCCTCCAATAGTTCCATCAACCCTAGATGGGAAGGTTTAGCTACTCATAACCATACTAACAACCATGATAATAATTGAAAGCATTAAAATACAGATTAAGGAAGAATGAAAGAGAAAACTCTTGTTATTCGTTGCTTCCAAGTGTTCCCATAGCCTTTTTCCTCTCCAATAATGTCTCACACCTAAGAAATAGGTTTAGAACCCCTTTTATACATGTTGGGGCGTGTAGGGTCGAAACTACCAAGTCCTAGACGAATTAGGGCGAAATTCATCCTTGGGCGTCTCGCTTGGAGCCTGGCGCCAACCTGGACATCAAACTTTTTTCACTTTTGTGCTCTACTTCCCTTGGCGTTTTTGTTGGTGTCTGGCCCGAACCTGGGCAGTGGGCACCAAATCCGCATTTTTACTTCAATTTGCATGCAAGTTTGCCAAATCACTTCTATTTGACTCCTACACATATAAATATCATTATTAAGCCCGAGTCACAAATATTCACACCAAAGTTAACAAGATCGAGGCACAATGCAAAGCAAATTACATGCAAAAACATGAATTCTGTCACGACCCTAAATCCACTAGTCGTGATGACACCTAACCCAACCCGCAAGGTAAGCCAACTAATAATTAACCAATTCCAATAACCTTTAATGAGACAATTAAACAAAAGAAATTTTATAAATCTTATACATTTCACAAGGATTGGTAGTACAAATCATGAGCTTCTAAGAATAGAGTTTACAAAACTGATATGAAGTAAATACATCTTCTGTTTGAAAAGTACATAAACAAAGTTTTATAATCTAAGGCTACCATGAACAAGAGGCAGCTACAACAAGGACACATGTACATCTTCAAATCCAGCAACCATCGAACACACCAACAACATCAGCCAACATCTGCACGCAATGTGCAGAAGTGTGGTATCAGTACAACTGACCCCATGTACTAGTAAGTAACAAACCTAACCTTAGGTTGAAAGTAGTGACGAGCTGGAACATAGGTCGGGTCCAACACCAATAGCCAACAACAGTTCATAACAACGTAAAGCAATTAAATAAAGAAGTAACTCGGAGATAAAATGCTCAGCCCTTTCATAGTTTTTCATAAATAGTTCCGCTTTTCAAGTATATCAGTGAAAACCCAACACTTTTACTGAAATCGTCGAAATTACGAGCAAGTGTGAAAATTGTGAGTTTTGCCGAAAATCCTTTCAACATTAAATATAATATTTCATTTTCTCTCCAGAAGCAAGTGTAAAATAACTCTCGATGCCCATATGTCAATATATGTGAGAAGTCATGAATGACGTGATACTGTACAGCATGAAGAAAATGCATCTCTATGCCTGCATGTCGTGTGCATGTCAAATGCAATGCGACACCATATGCATACTCTCAGAGTATCAATTCACTCAATCCTCCCAGTCACGCAGTCCTCCCAATCACTCGACGCTCGCACTCAGTAGGTACCTATTACGTGGTTGAGTTAGAAGAGTTTTTCCAATTGAAGTGACGTTTTGAAAATGGATCATTTATTATTTAGAATCGCCACTTAGAATTGAGTTTTGGTGTTCCAAGTCACCTTTTATTTAAATCCCTTATCAAAAGTAAGGTTTGACTCCTAATTTATGGTCTACGAAAATAGAAGACTGAGTAAGAATTATGTTGACCGGAGGGAAGGTGTAAGGCACCCCTGAGTCCCGCGGTTCTAGCAAGGTCGCTTTATTGACTAATGTAAGGCTTAAATCAATTTTTAGCTGATCTTGTATTTTATTGATTATGGTTTGCCTCTTACCGCTTAATTTATTATTATATTTTATTAATTATTTTGACCTAGATGCGGTATTCACACAAGGTACTTATTTGAAATTGGATGTTAAACCAAGGTACGGGAATGCACACAAGGTTAAAATATAATCATTTTAAATTGAAAGGTATCAAGATGCGGGAATGCGCACATGATCCTTTTATCATTTAAACATATTAATCCAAGGTTCGGGTATGAATACATGTGCTAATATTTAAAGCGCTTGTAAAGCTTTTCTAACATTTTTAGAGTATTTTAACTATTTTGTCTCTTTTAGATTTGAGATATTTAATTGTAAAATTTTATTATTACTTATTGTAATGAGTCTTGAATTAGCACGGCTTATTTCTCTCCCTCACAATTATTTTTCTTACCAATAAATCGGCATTGACTTTCATCTAGGCTCAGTTTATTAATAACCTTCCCATAATACAGTTTCAACAATAATATAAGAAGAATACTTAAACTAATCAAAATAATATGCAAAAGTAACAATAATAATTATTTAATGCAAATTATGAGTTAAACCTTTAACCGGAGCAACAGACAGTTCCATTAAGTTAATTTCAAAACCAGTTTACAATATGAGGTAATGAACTACATGGTACCATATCAAGTGATACAGTATCTTCATGGATTCGAGAGTGACATAGAATGGAAAACTTGATGTGTAATTCTCATAGTTTAATATAATTATTTTATATATCATAAACTGTTATAAAATAATAAAAGAATAAGAACAATATTGCAGAGAAAAGTAGAGAGAGAATTCTTATTGATTTGGGATGAATTACAATGGAATAGAACCCTCTATTTATAGGGAGAGGTTGACTTAGCCACCAAGTAATAAACCCTAGAATCTCTCTAAATATGAACATTCACCATAAATAGAATTCTATTTATAACACTCCCCCTGAATGTCTATTCAACAGATAATGTGCCTCGTTAAAACCTTAACTAAAAGAAAACCCAATGGGAAAAAATTCTAGAAAAGGAAAAAGAGTACACATGTTTAGAAATGCGCCTATTGGT